CTTTTCTCAAGATTATGGTTTAACAAAGAGCAAGTGAAACCGGATTTGATGCTTATTTTTAGAAGTTTTGTTCAGGTGGGCAGATAACAGCGGACAATAGGAATCATGTCATTTTGCGTGGTTTGGGAAGCAGGATACAATGCTGATTAAATGTATTTTTTCTATAAATGAAGCAGTCGCTTCTAAGGGAATGCAATACCTGGAAACTACTGAATATAGAAGGTATTGGACAAAGAAATACCGCCGTCTTATGATTATGAGTTGTCAATTTGAAGAATATGCAAATTTCGAAATTTCGAAATCATAACAATGGTGCTTTGGTTAGTAAGACAGTTGAAATAAACTCAGAGCGACATTAAGTAGAATAAATCTATTTGTCTCTTTATGAGTCATCTGAACTCAGTAGCAACAAAGAACAGAACTAAAAAAAATATTAAAGAAAATCAAGACAAGATCATTGACACTAGAATTATAGCCTTCACGCAGGACTTAGACAGCGCGCCTCCTGTAACACACGAGCCAGCGTCCGGCGGAAGAGGGTCGGTCCCCCGCGTGTCCTGTGACGCTGCCGCCGCCACGGACCTGAGCCTTCGTCGAGTCACCGCGGTTTCCTACAGTCGGGGGCTCCATGACGTCGGCCTTATTTCCTGTCATTTCATTTCGGTATTTTTCATTATTATTATTAGGTGCCTTACTTTCAGTCCTAATGGAAGTACTGAATTCTAGCTTTCGCAATGATAAGATTAGGATGAGTAAACACGTATCCCTTTGTCGAAGGTTTTCGGGGATCTTACTTTCACTTCACTTTACTTACGGGATGCAAATGCAGTCCTACTTCACGAACACGGAGAAAATACAACGAAGCACTCATGTCTTGGGGCCAGTCTTGCACGTCGCGGCGGTGTGGTCACAAGGGTAACTTCAATGGAATAACTTTTCCTTTAGACTTCCCTGTAGAGATCAGGATCAGAGACGGGTTTGTAGATGTATTGACTTTCCATGGATTCGCTTTTGTAAGAAGAGCATGTGTATAGATATAATTGACTGGGATTTTAGATCGTATTTGCTGTCATAGTGAGAGGAAGAAAACAATTATGATAATAATGGTAATGATGATGATGATAATAATAATAAAAATATTATTATTAATAATATTGATAATAATACTAACAATAATGATGAAGATAATAATGATAATAGTGATAATGACTATAATATTAATAACAATAATGATGATAATAACAATAATGATAATAATGATAATGATAATAATAATAATAAAATAATAATAACGATAATGATAAAAATAACAATAATGATAATGACAGAAATAACAATAACAATGATAATAATGATGATAATAATTATGATAATAGTAATAATAATAACAGTAGTATTAATGATGATTTTAATGATAATGATAAAAAACATTTAAGGTTCAGCTACAGGAAATCCATATTTGTTTACACTCTTGAACATTTGTCATAGCCGATGTCACAATCCTCGGGAAAGTGAGTGTTGGGGATGGCCATAAAAACACACGAAAGTATTCCAGTGAAAGGTACAGCTGTTTTACTAAGTGGCATTAAACCTTTCACTTTTGACGAGACAGGTGAAGAACAATGTATGTAATAATAAAAAAAAAGTTTTGACTGAATATGAGAAATACATGTAAACGTTTCTACAACCTTTCGAGAGGAAGAGTGGTGTATATAAACACTGAAAGTTGCAGAGTAAACAGGTTTTTTTTTCCACTGTATTTGGAGCTTCCACAATATTTTGCACGTAATAGAAAATCATACCAGCATATCATGTACTTTTATGGTTTTCTAATGACTTTTATATGAAATCAAGAAAATTAACCTATTTTATTGAAATGTTTTTGCTCGCTTATTATTATGTATTAGGAATCCAGAATAGAATAGAATATATTATCGTTTATCATTTATTCATTCATAAAATACAAAAGATATATATTTACAAAGATAAATAGATAATCTTAACCTACAAGCAGATCATTGTTTTTTTCAGGCATCCAACGTTTCCATAGCGAATATTTTACACTACAAAAGGAAAATATTAGGACACCCATTTACAACTGTGCTGGTTCTACCTTAAGTTACAGTATTTCACGTTATTAAGGGTTGTCAAGACTGGGCACCGTATCGAACATTTCCACAGAGATCTGATCAGAACTCTTGGAAAGCTGGTTAGCACTGCTCTTTTAAAAGTTTCAGCTGTGTTCATTTGGCTGTCCCTCATGAAGTCTCCTGTGTGATATCAGTCACTGACTGATATCAATAAACTGAATTGAAATGATGATATTGTTTCTTCATTGTCGTTCAGCAGGTGTTGTGCGCTGACTGACACTTAAATGAGTATTGTAACAGTCCCCGCATAGAGGGGAACAGCTTTTTTTTTTTTTTTTTTTTTTTTTTTTTTTACTATGGTTCACGCACTTAACACGACTGTTTTGACGAAAGAATGTACTCGTAGCCGCTCTTCTGGACGCGTTCTGCCATGCAGTACTTCCACCTACGAAAAAAGAAGAAAAAACATTAACAGTCATCAACGACATCAATGTAATGCAAAAGGAAAAATAAATCATTTGGGAGGGAGGGTATTCCAGAATAACGAGAAATCTACGTACTTCGTGTTTTCCCCGAGAGGCTCGACGGTGATGGATTCCAGGAAGAAGGTTGGCTTTTCGAGGCGGACCCAAGACATGATTGACCTTGGGTACTCGAGGGTCACGCCCATCGTCTGCAGGTCACCGATGTCGTGGGTCAGGATAACACGGCGGTGCACTGAGCCGGCTTCGTAGTACTTCGATCTGCGGAGGGAAAGATAAACGATGTAAAAAGCCTTTTCCACTGATACATGTATAAAAGAACTTTGTCCTTTCATATATCCCTATTTCACCAGTATTTCCCCTCGAATATCCTTACTCACTTTTCAGACAGCTTGATCGGTGGCGACTTGTCCTTATTGCCGGTGAGTCTGAGGTGGATGATGCCAAACTCCCCCATTTTCTCCTGAGCCTCAGTGGAGTTGCTGAATTCCACAGTCACGCGGTAGTGGTAGCCTGCGAGAACCAGAATACAATTTTATTTCTCTTCGGTAAAAAGAAAAAAAGGAAAAAATATATATATGAGAAACAACAACATATAACGCAATATACAAAGCATACTTGTATTTCTTGTCGATGAGGGTAAGAAACATACCACAGAACGGGCTGCGTTCCCATGTATGAAGATAGAGTTTGGTGAGCTCTGGCTGTGAGGGCAGAGGCGCGGCGTCCAACCCCATGTAGGAACAAGGGTGCTCGTCGTCACAGCCCCAGCAGTCACCCTGTAAGGTAAACAACATGTATTGTGAAAATGAAGCTTTTTCGTTGTTTCAGCATTAGGCCAAAGAATGTGCCTATAGCAAGACAAAGATAAGTATAAAATCCCAATCGTCCTGTCTTAAAATTAACGACGCAACAGGAAACTTACATCTATAAACTCTCCGTATGATGGGCAGGCAACACCTATCATGGGACAAGACTGCCTGATGGATTCCGTGAAATAGGTGATCGCGCGCCGGTGCTGGCAGTTGACGTCACCTGCGAAGACAAAAGAAATCCGTGTTGTAATTGGGAAATTGGCTCTTGGTCTTGTCTCGGGCGCATACTTTCTAGTGCGTAAGGAGACTTGTTCATGCATATATCTCTATTTATCCATATCTATCTGTTTATCTATTTTTGTCTGTCTGCCTGTTTCTTTGTCTGTCTATCTGTCTCTCTATGTCTGTCTGTTACTGTCTCTCTTTCTTTCTCTCTTTCTCTCTCTCTCTGTCTGTCTGTCTTCTCTGTCTCTCCCCCTCCACTCTCTCTCTCTCTCTTCTCTCTCTCCTCTCTCTCTCTCTCTCTCTCTTCCTTCTCTCTCTCTCTCTCTTGCCCTCCTCTCTCTCTCTCTCTTGTCCTCCTCTCTTCTCTCTTCCCTCCTCTCTCTTTTCTCCTCTCTCTTCTCTTCCCCCCTCTCTCTCTCTCTTCCCCCCCCCTCTCTCTCTCTCTCCTTCCCCCCTCCTCTCTCTCTCCCCCCTTCTCTCTCCCCCATCTCTCTTTCTCTCTTTCCCCCCTCTTTCTCTCTCTCTCTTTCCCCCTTCTCTCTCTCTCTTTCCCCGCTCTCTCTCTCTCTCTTTTTCCGCTCTCTCTCTTTCTCCCCCGTTCTCTCTCTTTTCCCCCCCTTCTCTCTCTTTCTCCCCCACCTCTCTGTCTCTCTGTTTCTCCTAGCTATGTGCGCAGTGCCTTCCTTGAGCAGGACTCACCCATGCAGCCCGGCTGGTTGTGTCCTCCGTTGGGGAAGAAGTCGAGGTGGCCGATGGGCTGCGTCATGCCCACGCCTGGGGGGAGGCAGAGGCAGAGGGTTAGATATTGGTTGCAATTCTGAGATATTCTGAAAATGTTTAGATTTGGTATGGTAACGAGGCGGCGCAAAATACATTCGAGATCACGGTACTTATGACAAATCAGCAATAATAGTAATAGAAACGTGAACAAAGATGGTAAGAAAAGCAAAACCTACTGAGCGGGAAGCCGAGGATTGGGGAGTCGTCGGTGTGGATGATGTCAACGAAGTCGGCGTCAGTCGTGTCGAGTCGGGTCACCGGGTGGGTGTCGTTGAAGTAGGGCTCGGCGGGGTCCAGGCCGGTGATTCGGGGCAGCGTGAGTCCGTAGATTTTCTTGAGGTAGGTCCCCGTGTGGCCGGACATGTGCGCGCCGAGGCTGTGGCCGATGAGGTGGACGGAGGAGACCGGGACGTCGGCGAACTTCTGTTGGGGGGATCGGAGGGGGGGGGGTCAGGTACATTACGGGGAATGGCGAGTCTGTGTTACAGCGTGTTCACGTCTTCCCTAATTAATAATTCAATAAGAAAACAGTACGCAGCAAAGGCGCTCACATTGAACAGGTAGATGAGGTAGGCGAGCTGCGAGGCCACCATGCGGATGTTGGCCAC